GGGTAGGGAAGAGAAGAGTGTTTCAAAGATGTAAAAGACAAACACAAATGTAGAACAAAGGTGAGGTGAGTACTGTGAAGTGGTCGAATATGACATAGAGTGAGGTGATGGTAGTTTGAAGTGAGAAGTCAACTGCCAGTTAATAGACTTTTTTGCCGTATGAATATACGTTGCCCAGGGTGCACCACGTGGAGGTAAGTCTATCGCACACCCCATAGTCGCATAAGTAGAAACGCACTCCAAATGTGTCCAACCTAGCTTAACTGCTTTAACTGTTAAAGCGCCTAATTATTGATGTTTATTAGAAAAATGAAATTGTAAGTAGTAAGAAGCTAGACACTTTTACCTCAATAGGTTGATCTACATTATGTTATCTAGCTCACGTAACTTAAAATCTTTAAAGCACTAAAAAATACAAAAATGTAATGACATTGAAGAAAGGTGATTTAATTGCGCACAAAATCTATCATATTTGCTCAACTGGTGAATTGGAAATGTCATTGGTAGGTGCGATTTAGTAGAGAAAATTGAGGGTCAGAATTGGTGAGAGAAGCTTCGAAGTAAAGTATTTATTTATTTATAACAAATGGCAGACCTTTTGATAGCTATCATTAGGGGAGGAGGAACATCAAAGTGAGGAGAATTCGGGGGAGGGGGGGCGATGGGTAATTCACAGGCGTAAAAGAAACTGACAGACACGAAGTCTCAGAAAGGGTAAGATGAGTACTGTGTAGGGGTCCAATATGACATACAGTGGGAGGTGATGGTAGTTAGAAATCAGAAGTCAACTGCCGTTTAATAGACTTTTTGTCGTATGATTATACGTTGCCCTGGGTGCACCACGTGGAGGTAAGTCCATTCCACACCCCGCGAAGTAAAGTGCCAAACATTAACGGATGGGGAACATTGGATAAAACTCGGGTGGTACAACTAGCTTTGGAAACATCAATAGATGGAATTGATGCATCGCTGAATGTAGATTCTCATTAATAGAATACGTATAAGAGATTTATTTAAATAATGAAATTAACGCAATCAAATCTATAGATTGATCTTCTTTATCAACTCGTCTCATTTTGTAATGTTGTGGTTATTGAATTAGTATGTTTATTTACTTAACAGAGAGTGTTAT